AACTATTTTCACTATTTTCCTAATTAATGCTGTTCAGTTGCTTTGACACAATCTGTATTGTTAAAAGCGCAAAGGTGACTATAATGGGTCGTGCACTGAAGAATCTGGATGGATTGTTACGGATGCCATATGGCTGTGGAGAACAAAATATGGGTGTTCTTGCTCCCAATATTTACATCCTACAGTACCTGTAAGTCACTGGGCAGCTCACCCCAACCATCCGACAGACTGCCATTGGTTACCTTCAGAGCGGTACAGATTGTCAGGATTCGCATTCCACCACATGATGCACTTGACTTGTAGGATTTGGCAAAGTTCCCTTTGTTTTTATTCTTTTAAACCTTTAACAGGTTACCAAGGACAACTGAACTACAGGCATAGTGATGGTTCATACAGCACGTTTGGTTATGATGCATCCAATACATGGTGTGTTTTCATGCTGTTCTTGTATTGTGCGTCATTGAATTGGGTTGTAATGAGACTTTTCATGGCCAGGTTGACCGCCTTCGTCATGAGGTCTTTTGGCCTAGCAAGGCGTTTCATCTTCATTGATCCTAGTGTCCTCCAGAGCGCAAAGGATTGGCTGATCGGCAAACAGGGTTCAGATGGCTGTTTCATGCAGCAGGGAACTCTGTACCACAATGCCATTAAGGTGTGCATGCTTCTTTAAATGTGCCGTAACTGGTCTGAGACTGACCTTGATCGTTATGCTGCTCCGTTTTAGGGTGGTGTTGGTGATAACGTGACCATGACCGGCTACATTGTTGCATCGCTGCTTGAACTAGGTGTCCTTGTCACGGTAAAAACATGCCTACCAGTAGTTAGACAAGCTCCTTGGCGTCCCCGTCATGGTAAAAACATCTCCAGTAGTTGCATGAGATCACTTCAGATGGCCTTTCTGTTTTGACGTGTGGGTGTTCGTTCCAGGATCCTGTCATTACCAAAGCTCTGTCTTGCTTGAGGCCTGTCGTTGGGAACCTGGGAAACACTTACACCACGGCTCTGCTCGCCTACACCTTCAGTCTGGCTGGAGAGACCAGCACTCGAGAACAGCTTTTTAACTTGGACAATGTTGCCATTTCTGAAGGTGAGATTCACTAGTCTCT